CATATTAAATACCTTTCCTCAGTTAGGTAACCTCTTTGTACTTTTGCTTTACTTTATATTAATAAAACAGGAATACCATTAATAGTTACATACTAAAAAAAATAAAGTGTGGCACCCAGCTAATTTGACACGTTTTACATTTTTTAAGTAAAACATCACCATACTGGGATTAACTATTTTCATTTATGTTAATGCTACATCACTGGTATGAGACCTGGGTTTTTATTTCACTATTTTAAAAGACACCATCTTGTATGCACATGGCTGTGGAAAGAGCACAGACTTGGGAATAAGACAGTTCTGGTTTGGATCCCAGCTCAACCATTTACTGTGTGTGCATCTGAGGAAGTTCTGTAACTTTCCCAAGCTACCGTTTTTCATCTGTAAAATGGATATAATATTATCTATTCCACGGGCTGTCATAAGGACTGTATGAATTAAAGTGCCTGGCCCATATTATAGTCTCAAAAATGTCCATTCCCTTGCTCTTTGCTTTTAAAGGAGGGATAATGTTTTAAGGAGAAAGAAAAAAAAAGCAAGACAGAAAAACTAAGATTTGTTAAATGCTCACTTCATATATATATATATATCTCATCAAATTTCATAACTGCCATATGAGTATTAGCATCTTAATCTTATGATTAACTCTTCCAAGGATTAAACTCTCTCAGGTAAAAAAGGTATCCAAATTCAGGTTTGTCTCTTAATCTTCAATTTTATCACATTAATTTGTTCATAAAAGGAAATGAGTATTTGATAACTGAAGATACAAATTAAAAGTAACCCCTCATTTCTCTATAATTCACATACCTGGTAGCCTCGTTTGGAAAAATTTAGAATACTGAGAGTAAGAGATCTCTAAGCATAGACTAAAGTTTATCTGATTTAGAACACTGCTTCTAGACTTCACTCAGAGCTAATTCATTGTGAATTATTTTAAAAGTTAAAATTTCACAACCACCCTGGGAAAATAATTTTATTCCTGGTTTACAAATAAAATGGAGGTGAAAAGGAAAGTGACTTTAAGTCATATGGCTAGTGACCCTTTCCCTCCCAATCCCACTTCTAAGCAATCTGAGAAGACAACTCTTTTGGAGTTTTGGAGGGAAGAGAGCAACCCTTACATGTTTTCTAGAGGGCCAATAGGTGGCACTGCTGTGTTTTCTGCCTTGAAGATAACTGCAAAAGAGGACTACGGGGGTAGGTGTCATTCCTCTGGTACCTGGCCTTCTCTAGGGCAGGAGCAGCTTGGACTTGGGGCAAAAACCCTAGTAACAATTGAGTATCCCTCGTAAGCCTAGCACTATGCTGTTTTGCATATATTATCTTTAAGTCTTTACAAAATATTTCAAAATAGTTACACGTATCCTCTACTTTGTAGACAGGAAAACCGAGGTTCAGAAAGGATGACTTGCCCAAGGTCACAGTAAGCAAGGATTCAAACCAAGACCTGTAGGACCTTAAAGTCTAATCCTCTTCACTAACCTAGTGGTTCCCAAGCTTGGATCCATGTAAGAATCATGCAGGAACTTAATGACAGTAACAAGAAAAATTACTGAGCCTTATTTCATATCCACTACTCCATACCCACTCCATTCACAGGTCAGAGTCCAGGAACCTGTATTTTTTAAAAAAACCCCTACGTGAGTTCCAATGTGACCAGTCTGAGGGACTGCACTAGGCCATCCGTATTCCTATAAGCAGAGATTCTCCTCTATCATGGCAGAGCTTGTTTTCCTCACAGTAGCAAACAACTAAGGCTTTAGTTGCAAATCATACTTGCAACTTTCCCCTAAAAGTTCAACTTACTCACTATGAAAAAATAAAGACATCATTAAGAGCATAAATAATATTATAGCTCTTTAAAATCAGTTCAAAGGGGATATAGAACCATTTCATTTATCTCAAATATATGAAAAACGTATTTCAGGGAAATATGTATTTCAGGAGGATGGAATTAGAATAATTATTTGTAACCTAAAATAAGGACATCAAAATCTACACCCAACTAAAAGAAATAACCAAGCAATCAATATGTTAAAAAAAACTGTGCTCAGATCATGCCAACATTTAACTTTAGAATAAGTTGGAGGGAAAAGACCACAAAAGAAGTCTGAATCCAATTCTCAGCAGCTGCCTGAAGTGAACACAGTGACATAGATGTTATCCTTGCCTGATGGGGTGGGGCCATGAAGAAAAA